TAATGCTACGTTGCAACTGGGTGTCAACCTGGTATGTAGCATTGCAATACAATAAATAACTAAATAAACTTTAAAATTAACTCAATACCCTGATGAGGGAGCAACATGAGAGTATTTCTACCCTCACAAAATGACAGACAAAGGGTGAAAGTCTTAAAGTAACACGGTTAAAATCTGTCTGAACAACCTTTGTGAAGTTTGGTTTCAAGACTGTGTTTAAGTGAAAGGAAGTCACAATTACAAAAGCTTTTGGCTTTTACAAAGACTCATAAGTGAAAGTCAAAGCTGGTTCTAATGTTTGTTTCTGTAAGGCTTCTAGTTATATGTTCAATACTCTAACAATAGATTCAACGAAGAGCACTTTTGAATTGTAAAAGAATATATTTTACACATTAATTTTATCAAAAAATAATGATTTGGTAACATTAGTTATTTTAATTTAAAATATATTATATATACTCTATTAACCCTTTTATGGCAAAGCTCATGCCACTTTTAGAGCTTAAATAAAGTAATTAAGGAGCAGTAACTATGTACAATTTATAGGTAGGTATACTTCAAAATGTTTAATATATTAACTACGGTTTTTATTTGGATCGAGGTAAGTATAATTTGGTTTATTTTATAAAAATAGATCAGTCAAATAAAACTATAACTAAAGAACAGTCCCTACCCAATTACAAAAAAATTAAACTAAAGCTTTTAAACTTTCTGTAAAACAGTAGGCCTAAAAGTGGTTCTGTACCATTCACACCAATAAGGACACAATGACTAAACAAAATATGGAATCAAAACAAAACAAACTAGATGAAAACGCTGTTAGGATGTAAAATAAACCAATGACATCTCATTCTGAGGAAACTGAGAGGGATTGAATCTCGAAACTGATACAACATGATATTGCATTCGTTTTGCTTTCTCACTCTGTCTTGTTCTCAACCATCAAAACTATATTACATTACATTAGGTACAACACCAATAGAAATGTATAAATGGTGGATGTGTAAATAAATTAAAAAAACTAAATCAATCGATTATCAATTGGTTCTTAAGGCAGATACAAACTTCGTTGCACATATTAAGTTGAATATGAATTCGTCAGAGTAGAAAGAGTAAAGATTAACTTACTGATTGTAACATTCTTGACCAGACCAGAGGTTAGCTTTGTTACAGAATTAGACCAACTGTTTTTCTGGGACCATTAATGCCCATAGTTAAAAAGGACTAGCTCCATGTAACATTAACTAGTGCAACTATTGCTCGAATTCGAGCAATTGCAAAGTATCACAGGTGTTATTTCAAAACGAATTACAGTCATCATTACCGATTACTTAAAAGAGTCGATTCAAAGATAATGTAACCAATCACTCCACTCCAGTTATCGAAACTGAAAACTCACTCTGCAAACGAACATCTTATAGAGAAAATGAAAATTGTTGTATTTTACTTGTTTATGGATATATTAATAAAATTTGGCAAATTTATTTATTTCATCTTATACTATTGACGAATGATCAAAAAACACTTTTTACCTTCCCCGTAGCAGCAAACCTAAGCACTCGTTAAATCTAATGTTATTTAAATAGGGAATAAATATGTCTTATTTATGGAAATGTTTTAGTAAAAATGTGATCATGACAAGTTGAAGTTCGCTTAGTCTGCAGGTTTGCTGCGACGAAGGTATTAATTTATTATTTTGTCATAAAGGATGGTTTTATGGTTGGTGAAGGTATTTGATGTCAAGAGGAGCTTAACAAAAGAATGTTTCAGCTCAGCAAACATTATTGAATCTATCAACCTCTTTGTAGGTTTATTTACAGAGTCAAGCGCATCAAAAGACCACTCCACTCTTTTGTGAATTTAATTATGATTTAAACAAAACAACTTATAAGAAGTGTCTAAATAATTTTATATCTTATTTTTGTAATATTGAGATATTTTACTACCCGTAAAGTAAAGCAACATTGCAATTTGTATTAAGAAATATTGAGAATTATTCTATTGAATGAATCTATCATATAGTTGATGAAATTTTAATCAATGCACAGACCCAAATAGCTCCTATAAATAAAAAATACCCCCGCCAAAGCAAACCTGCAGACTAAGCGAATTTCCATTTGCCTGATTAGATTTACACTAAAATGTCTCAATTTATTCCCTATTTAAATAACATTAGTTTAACGAGTACTTAGGTTTGCTGCAACAGGGAGGGTAAAAAGGTGTTTTTGTAAAATGTTAATAGTTTAGTATGAAATGAATGCATTTTCCAAATTTGATCAACATCCTACTAATATTATAAATGAGAAAGTTTGGATGGATGTATGGATGTATGTTTGTGACAAGTGAACGCGAAAAATACTGGTCGGATTGGGCTGAAATTTGGCATGGTGATAGCTCACATTCCCGATTAACATATAGGCATATTCTTATTTCAAAAATACTTTCGGGCTCCTCCCCAGTGGCTCTGGAGTTTCCCATGTTAACCTTATGAGAAATGGAATTATTGAATCTTAACAGCTGTTTCAATTAAACAAGTTGGTTCTGTTCTATGATGTTCCATAGCATTAAAGTTACAAGGATTACCAACAGGGTGCAGCACTATTATTTCTTTTACATTTATGACAACAGCTAATTTGCAACCAAAAGGTGAGTGAGCGTAGCGAACGAACTTCAACCTGGAGGCGAGTTAGCGTAGCGAACGAGCTAACCTGAAGGCAAGTGAGCGCAGCGAACGAGCTCCAACCTAAAGGTGAGTGAGCGTTGCGAACAAACTTCAACCAGGACGTGATTGAGCCATGCGAACGAGATAATCTTGAAAATTAAGAAGTTAAACGGGGCAAAGCCCGCGGGTTACAGCTAGTATGTTCATAAACAAACAAACTATGTACAACAGTTTACTTATTCTCCATAAGAATAACATGGGAATTTTAAATTTACAGATTTTTGGAATTTTCTCCATAACCATTAGGCGCATATAATAACGCTTCAGTATACTAAATTAGGTAATTTGTGCTCGGGTTATCTTGCAAAAGGACTCATCAATTTGAACGGATGGTGTTTTTGGCCTCTGGGGGTATGAAAACGAAAAAGTAAATCAGTCCCGGGTCAAGATCTTAAAATAATCTTAACCTTAACATGGGTAATACCTTATTATATGGGAAATTTTCTGAAATATATTAATAGGTGAATATTACTGCTGATGTAATCATCTGAAATTTATTAAAACAAAATCCTTAAAGCATTATATTTCTATAATCATCACCACAAACAGTTCTCATACAAACATTTTGACTAAACAGTGGTTATATTGTGGAAGTGTAAAGAAACTAAAGAAAGTAGTACAGTAGCACAGCATTACATCCGGGAAACAATATATTTGTAAGGGTAAAAAGAAGAGAGGGAAATTTATGTGTACAATCTTGTTTTTATCGAACTAAGTCCACTCAATTTATTGCAAAATAGATAAAGTTTTGATCAATAAATAAGGTTTGTTTATCCTTAAAAGAGCAAATGGAGAAGAGATTTATGTCTTAAGTTTAGATCACTTCCAGGTCCCAGTGAATCTTTAGACTTCTCTTATCCCTTTAATGGACACCTTACATCTTCAAACTTGTATTTTTACCTTTTGTAATAACATAACTTTTCTCAATTTCTTCACTGGTTCTCTGTATACAAGTATTTTTTTGTTGGTTTAAACCCTAATATTATTATTTTCAACTGTACAAATACATTGTTGAGCAGAGCGAAGCGAAGCTCTTTGCGATCGACCTCAATGCAAACTTTCTAACACATTAACAGCTGATCATATTTTAGCCAAACTTACCAAAGTTGTTTTTGTCAAACGTTTTGAAGGTTTAGACTAACCAATTTCAATATTTGATAATGCCTATATAATTTAAAAGTAACTCAAAGTTTTTTTTTTAAATTTTACACTGGCCTTATGGGTTGCTATGATGGTTACAAAATAAGTAAATGTACAAAACAAAGGATCAGCATGTTAAAACAAGGCAACACTAAAAAAATCAAGCCACACTTAAAATCAATTATCAATTATCAATTATTTAAGATGGGGACGCCACTATGTGCGTATTTTAACCCAAATATGAGTGAAGGATGCGTGTAGGATGAGTGGCGCGATCTTGTAGTCTTGTTAGTGACTAAGGCCGACATGTTCCTTAGACACAGCTGTTTAATAGCCCATACAGCTAATGGCAACTAAGGGACCTACAGTTTATAGTGGAATCCGAACCACATTTTTTCCTTGTAATTTACGAATTGGTCTAATTATTAGGATAGTACTGCGGATAGTCGTAGTGCTCACTAGTGCGGACGTTAATCCACACCAGGGAGCATCGCATCCACAGAGAATCCCTATAAATATCCACAATAAATAAACACAGTACAAAGGTAAAAAGGATCATTAATCAAGGACAGCTGGGCCAGTTTTGGCCATCACAGCAACTGGCTTTTCTAAAACAATGTGACCTTTGATTGTCGAGCTTTTAATATCTATTGTCTACACCTAAAGGGTTCTACCCGGCAGCCTGAATTTCAATTCAAGATGGCGGATTACATGGATTGAAATATAGTTCAGAATTGGACATGCCTCTATTGTAAAAGCTCTCACTCAACATTCTAAAACTAATTTGTTTCCAATGACTGTGTGCTTTTTGTGTTCTTAACAGATCAGAGCTTGCAATGGATGGGGAAAAATTAATTTGTAACTATTATTTAGTCACATGTTAAAAAGACTAATTTACGGATTTTAAAAATGATTTTGTTAATTCTTAAAGAAACAATTATGAAGTTTCAGTTTATCTCATCCAGTGCATAGTTTGGATCTTTGTGAATATTTTACTGTTATTTCAACTCGATCAAAATGCCACGAGGTTGTTTTTGTAGGACCATGTTTACGTGGTAACAGCCAGCGGGTGGAACCCTCCACAAAAGATTGGTCCACTAGACACATGGAGTTGTTAAGAGTTTGTGTTGGTTTGCAGGCAGCTGATATGGGTGTAGGAGTGTTGCTGATCACTGCGCTGGTGCTGATACTGGTGTTGGCAGGCTGTAGATCCATCGGTCTATGGACATGGACGGCTGCATGGATATTCTCCAACAGAGAGGAGAAGGTGTCATTAACCAGACTCAAGGGCCATTACAACGCCAATGGATACTTGGTAACTTTGTCGCTTCCTTCAACTATCATTTCCAGTCTAATTATCAACCACCGTTTCATCCAACATTAAGCTTGGATTTATAATTTGTTTTGTAAGTGTCTTAATTGGGTATAGTTAAGAAGAAAGTCTATAGGAAAAACTTCACTAATCTCATTTTCAACACCAGTTTACAAAATTTAACTTCAAATAACTTTGATTAGTTCCTATTGGAAATGTTCACCCCATATTTTTTGACAGAGTTTACCAAAAGCATTCCTAGTGCATCTGTAGCCAAATCATTGAAACAAGGTTGAAACCATAGTGGACTACAGGATTTGTTTCTTTAGAAGAAATATTAATAAAAGCAATTAACTTGCGTAAGACTCCAATTTTTTTTTTAACTTTCCTTTAAAACATTTAAGCAGCTTCGTGATTTCTGTTAGCAGTCCCTTTGATGTTTAAGTTAAGTTAACAAACCACTTGGGAAACCTTTCTTATATTACTATAACTTTTTAAATTTATTTTAATTTCAGTGGGACATATTATTACGTTTTTTCATTAATTTTTATTTAGGACTAATTTATATAGGAATGTATAAAATACAACTAGAAAAGTGACTGAGATACCGAGAAACTTCATCTGGTGAAAAAATGTGTAAAAAAAAAATAAACAAGAAATATTTGGTAAAACTACCGTAGTTAAAGTATAATGCTTATACATATAGAAATGTTCACTGCAGTAAGAAAAATAAATTTAAAACAAATATTTTCATAATCCTGACTGACAGTCAGAGTTGAAACCAAATAAAATAAAATATTGCATCTTCCTCAATAATATGTTTTGAATAAAGATTTGAAATTTCATTTTATTTTATGTTAGGTAAATCAATGAATGCTCCTAGGTTTCAAATCTGCTGCAAACCTCCAACCACAACTGTAATTAAAAAAATAAACGAAGATGTTAGCTCGCCTTAAACATTCTTCACTTTACCGATGTTCCATCTTCCAGATAACGTCAGACTCTGATATACAGCTGGACTGTACAGGCAGTTTCCAGCACTTTGACTCTGTAGATCGTGAGGTGTGGACTCCACCCGTGGACTCTACCCTCAGCACCACAGTGGCCCCAGAGATCCCCCTGCAGCCTCTACGCCCCGCGCCCAGCCCCGTACCCCCGCCATCACCCAAACCTGTGGAACCATCTCCTCCTCCACCACTAACACCTCAAGCTCCACCAGCTATCTCAACCAACCCCTTTGTAAGTATTGCAAACATTAGGTTAAATAGTATTTCCTCACTAGTTTCTGAAGTGACTTTTTTGGTCCAAGCAAAAGTTGATCTTTTTTGCCAATGTGATGAACCGTATTGTTCGTACTTCTGCACAATTTATTGTTGTTATCAGTTAGCAGATATAATGGAGCCTGTGGTAGTGCTACCTCCACCACTGGTGACAGAGGAGGTCACGGAGAGAGTTGTACCTCAGCTACAGAGAGCCATGAGCTGTGACTCTGTGTGTTCTGACACAAGTGTCTCCGCAGCAGACCTACAAGAACCCAACGTAACTGGTTATCTCTGTGTGGGACTTGAATATGACAGGTGAGTTGAATTTAAGTTTTCAATTTTCATTCAGTTTAAAAAGGTCTTTTAGATTTCAAACTGGTCATGATCTTTTACATATAACTTCTTGGTTGTTAGCGAGGTGGCTGATTTGATGGTGAACGTGCTGGAGGCCAAGGATCTAGTAAGCAGTGATGTGAACCATCCTCAGCACCAACCTCTAGACACATATGTCAGGGTGTACCTTCTACCTGACAAGACCACTAACATGCAGACCAGGGTGAGTCCTTTACTGGACCATATGGGAAACCAGTTAAAGACCAAATATTTACAAAATGGCAGCATTGTTACTAAAATCAGAGCTTTTTGTTTAGTTTTTTAGTTTCTTCCCCTTTAGTATGGAGAAAGTATTATTTTCGTCAACAGTGTTTGAATTTCGTGAACGGTGTATTTTTTGAGTGGAAGTAACCATTTTGGGTCCCCATGAGTTTGAGAAAGTTATTGTTTTTGGAGTGATGTCTGTGTGTATCTGTATGAATGTGTGTGTGTGTTTCTGTACAGAGCTACCAGCTCCGACCGCCAACCAATGATAAAGGTTCTGACAAGCAAATGGGAAAAAGTATATGCCTATTGTGTCAGATCTATATATAAAATAGGCAAGCACGATTTTTGTCGGCAGAACTCCTCCGTGGTTTCTCAAACAACTTTGTTGGTTCATGGCTCATTGAAAAGATCTCATTGAGTGGATGTCATATTACTATTATGGTCATATTATTTTTTTGATCTAATAAGGTCTCACATTTGGAAAAAGTCCCCTGGGCTCAGTACCATAGTGGCTTTTCAATTTTCCATGTTATCATTGTTTGTTTACATTTATGATTAGCTGGATTATTTAATTGCTGTTAACACTGCAATTCAAGAAAACGCCCATGCTACACACATTTTACTGACTTAGCTGAAATTAAATATTTACTAATTTAAATCTGGGTTTGCGTACATATTCTAATCAAAAAAGTTGAGAATCCTGGTTACACTATCAATAATAAAGATAAACATGGAGAACATTACGCGGCTATGCTGGGTAAGCTGGAAAACATTTGTTGAAAACACTAAAAAAAAAAGGTCCAGCTCTTGAAAAATGGAAAAAAATACATTGACTTGTTGAAAATAGTTGACAATATGAAAATTCCTTGATTTCGAACAATAGTTGCTTATAAGTTACCATCAATACCATTTATTATAAACTCATACTACCTATGATCAAAAACAGCAAAACAGCTAAGTTTAGATTCAATGGATAAAAAAGATTTTTACAGGATTGAACTGGCAACCTTAAGATTGAATGGCACCTTAACCACTCAGCTGCCTTGCTATAATTCAATTGGTTGATGGATTCTGACTTGTTCCCTTTTATTTTCTCATGCATGTCTACAACCTACAACAATCCTAATATTTTTTAAATATCTATTCTTCTTTTCTGCTCATTTAGGTGTACAGGAAGTCTAACAGTCCGAGTTACAAGGAGAGATTCCTGTTCGCTCTAGAGCCGACGGAGTATCACAGGAGATCTTTGTCTTTCTACATCTACGCCACAGACCGAGCGTCCAGCTCGCTACTGGGGGAGGCGGAGCTACGGCTGTGCGACGTCAACGCTCGACAACCCGTCACCACCTGGCTCACACTGACCGACACCGGACAGGTCAGGAACAAGCAGTATTGTGTGTTACTACAAGATGAGATTTAAATGAACATTTTTTTATAAAAAGGTTAGTGAACCTGTTTTTCGTCAGGTAAAGGCTCATTATCAAGCTGAATACCAAAGTTGTAAACACCAATCCTCTTCATCATTGGTGTTGTGGTGTGTCGTCATAAGCACGATTAAATACATGAACTTGTGAATACGGATATTTAGTGTATTGAAGTTTCATATGAGAAAACTTATGAGGCCATTGTTGAGTTTGGTATAACTTAACAATATCACACCAAAAGCTATTTGTGACATATGTGATCAAAAAAGTCTCAGTCAATTTTAGAACTATACTATCTTTGGGCTTTTAATTGACCAATGCTGCATTCCAAATCATTCAAATTAGTTTCAAATCACTCGTCTCTGCCAATTACTTGGCCAGTTTCCTCTAAATAAACAATCAAAGGTGAGTAGCACCAGCCAAAATTCCACATGGTTTGTGATACCTACTTTGAAACTAAAATAATTTACAGCTGGTAGAATGAAGTGCCACCTTAATTGCAATGGTAGTTTGATCATAATGGCTGCTGATCTGTAGAGAAAGGTACAGCATGTGACATCTAAGCTGGCTCTTGGCCGATCGCTACTAGGATCTATAGTTCAAAAACATTATGTCCCGTCATGCGGGTTGCATCAACTGTCCTCGGGACCCATATGATAGCTCAAGAACATAATGCAAGGGGAGTCAACCCCGTGAGGCAGTGAAATGTTTGCAGTCCGGTTTTTTCCCTACCACCACCCACCTCTAGCCTACACTGCCCGCGTTAGGCCAAGTGCCAGCTTAGATGTCACGAGCTGAACAGGCAATGCAAGCGGCTGGGGTGGCTGATGTTGAAACAATTCTGAGCTGTTTATATTAACGACTACACACTATGACTGGCCAACCGATTGTAAACAGTTAAGTTAACTGTGGAAGCAAAGTGTTATAAAACTGTTTGTTATGTTTAGACGAGTACAGAGCTGGGTGAAGTGATGTTTTCTCTAAGTTACCTGCCAACTGCAGAACGTCTTACAGTTGTGTTGGTGAAGGCCAGGAATCTCAAGTTTCACAGGGAATCAGGCGACCCATTTGTAAAGGTATTTACTTATACTTAAACTACATTTGGGTTGTGAAGTCCAAAGTCTCCAAATTTCCAAAAGTCCAAATTTTCTTTTTGTTCTGTGTTGTGTGTAAAAGTGAACATTAAATCAGGAGCTCATTATACCAGACATGTTTTTTTTTTTATATTTCTGCTGCAGGCTTGCCAATAGATGCACAGCCAACACAGCACAAATATCCAAAATGCCAATCACAGCGCTGGAACGGAGAAATTTATAAACGGTGCTTACTTAAAAAAACATGCCTCGCATATCTTAATACGCTATTTCGTTGACAGTTTGTTCCTAATAAGGCTTTTTTGTTTTAAAACTTAGCCCCACTTATCAAAACACATGTCTGGGTGTGCATATTTGCATCCTTATTGATGCAGCAAGGATTGTTATAAATGAGAGATAATGACAAACGCAATGTAGCCCTAACCAACATTGTTTTCAAAGAGAATCGTAAGCGGTGTATTTCAGCTTGTATACATGTGTATTACTTATCTAATATTGGCTAAGCTACCACACAAACTGGAATGGATTCATTCAAACAAGAAGAAAGTTCAATTTTATTTCATGCAAAATCACACAGGTCCCCCTAGTTGTCAATTAAAATCTGGCTCAAATAATGTCAAAAACACCGATTCTGCTTATTAAATAATTAACTTGCCCTTTTTTTGTAAGACGCTAGGCACGAGCCAGGGATTGTTTTTCACATTACTTCAGGCTAGACCTAGGGGTTGCGGCATTATCACTTGGATAAAATCCATTGGTGATTTGGCGGGATTTGGACCCGGGACCTCAGCCACCGAAGTCCCGCGCTCTAACTACTGGACCGAGTGTAGGAGTTTTGCCAACGGGTATCAGGTAGAAAGGGTCCCCATCCATGAATTCCACATACTGCAGAGTTTTGCCAACGGTTGTGGGTTGCGCGAGAGGGGGAGGGGGAGAGAGATGACACGTGACCGTGAGGGTGGCTTCCGCTATGGGTGGACAAACCAGGCAGGATGCTGACTGTGTTCAAAGTATGTAATGCAGTTATGCACCTCTGACTGTGAAAGGAAATGTATTGAATTTTTAACCTAACCTAACCTAACCTAACCTAACCTAACCTAACCAAACCAAACCTAACCTAACCTAACCTAACCTAACCTAACCTAACCCACCGCGACAAGCGCATAACTGCCAAGCGTAGACAACCCTGACAATCGCTCTCCTTCCGGACGTCACACTCTTTCTCCCACCACCACCGTTGGCAAATCTCCGCACCAAGAGGTGGCCGAAGGCATCCCCCATCTACCTGACACCCGTTGGCAAAACTCCGGTTCCCACTGGACCAGATCGCTCCCCTAACTTTCACCTTGATGATGAAAGGAAATAAGATTAAAATTTAATCCTTTAACCTGACTGTCAAATAGTTTCTACTGTTTTCCAGCAGAGAATCTTATGGAGACTGTTTACTGTGTGCGTGCGTAAGGGAGGAATAGCAGGCCCGTTTTTGACCATGTCAGCGCCCTAGGCACAACTAATAGTAGCGCCCCTTTGCAATATATAACAGGGTGACCACCAACCGGGAAATCCGGAAACTAAGCGTGAATTTTTTTGAACCAGGAATTATGTGTTAATTTTCTACCTGGAATTGTCAATTTACAACAGTGACGTTTCCGTGACCACGGGAGCCGGGAGGCAATAATATGTCTCCACAAGGCCTCGAGGGATGATCAGAACTTTGCAGTGATCGCATGAGATGATAATAATATCTAAACGACCGCGGGATATGATCATGATTTTACCGCGATCGCGCAATACGATAATGAGATCCACAGAGGATAATCAGAATATTGCCGCGATCGCATGATACGATGATAATGTCTAAACGACCATGGGATATGATCATGATTTTACCGCGATCGCGCAAGACTATTATAATGACTAAATGACCGCGGGATATGATCATGGTCCACACAACCACGGAAAACAGTCAGACGATCGCGGAAGACGATAATGATATCCACATAACTGTGGGATATTATTAACATTTTGCCGTAATCGCGGGAGACAATTACGATGTCTTCACGACAGCGGGAGACGATTACGATGAATCACGACAGCGGGAGACGATTACGATGTCTTCACGACCGCGGGAGACGATTACGATGTCTTCACGATCGCGCGGAGACGATTACGATGTCTTCACGATCGCGCGGAGACGATTACGATGTCTTCACGATCGCGCGGAGATGATTACGATGTCTTCACGATCGCGGGAGATGATTACGATGTCTTCACGACCGAGGGAGACGATTATATGATGTCTTCACGACAGCGGGGGACGATTGCGATGTCTACAGGATCGCGGGAGTTACAATAACGATGTCTACTCTACACGGCTGCGAGGGATGATCAGAATTTTACCGCAAACACGTAAGACGATGATAATGTCCACTCAACCACGGGAAAAATCAGAAATTTGCCTCATTCGTGAAAGACGATGATGATCTATAAATCTATGATATATATCTATGATCTAGATCTATGATGAGAATATAAATACAACGATCCTTTTTTATCCAAACTAGAAACTACACTAGATATATTGACTAAGAAATATGAAAACATCATTATAGCTGGAGATGTAAACATAGATATTTTAAATCATAACTCATTGTATTATAGATTTTTGAGCATTTTGAGAATGTATAATATGTCATATAAAGTAAATTTTCCTACTAGGGTTACACTAAAAACTAGATCAGCAATAGACAATATTATCACTAATATAGATCATGTGCAATTAATTGTAACCGGAATCATTACTCATGTGTCTGATCACGATGCACAACTTCTTGAAATTGTGGATTTAAAAAGTAAGAATAAAAAGAAAACAAAGAAAAGGCACAGAAAATTTACAGAGAATAACTTAAAAACCTTTCTCAGTGATTTAGGCAATGAGACTTGGTATGATGTTTGCCAGTCATCTGTAGATAAAAAGTATGATGCATTTTTTTCCATTTTTAGTTACATTTTTTATGTTAATTTTCCCAAAGTTTTAAGTGCAGATGGTGGATATAGTAAATGTAAATGGAATTCAAAGGAGTTATTTAAAAAAAGGAGTGAGTTAAATGAACTGGAAAAGCTAGGTAGGATAAGACAAAATTTTGACACATATCAAAAGATAAAGGTTAAGAAAAAGGAACTAAAAGAATCAATACACCAAGCCAAACAAACATTTTATAATGAGAAAATAAAACACTCTTCTAATAAAACTAAAGCAACGTGGAACATAATTAAAAGTGAAATAAAGCTTAACTCAAAAAGTGATTTTACCAGCAACATTCCGATATGTATAGAGCAAAATGGTAAACTCCTTAAGCATCCAGTAGCTGTCAGTAACAACTTTAATAATTTCTTTGTATCAGCTGTGGAAAAGCTTATATTGCCACACATTTCTCCTTCACTTACACAAAAAACAGATATCCAGAAAAATATTTTACCTACAGATAAGTCATTTAAGTTTCACACAATAACAGAAGAACACCTCACTAAAGTGGTCCTTTCCTTTGAAAACAAGTACTCTGCAGGTTTTGATGAAATTCCAATCACCATAGTTAAAAAATCAATACACATTATCCAGAAACCACTAACACATATCATAAACTCTTCTCTTATTTCAGGAATCTTTCCATCAAAATTAAAATTGGCTAAAGTAATTCCCATTTTTAAAAAAGGTAATAAAACTGATCCCTCCTGTTACCGCCCTATCTCTCTCTTACCTGTTTTTTCAAAAATTTTTGAACGCATTGTTTACATTCAGGTCTATAAATATCTGGAAAATAATCAACTATTTGATAAAGAACAACATGGCTTTCGGCAGGGCAAATCAACAATAACAGCTGGTATTGAATTCATAGAATCTATAATAAATGCTGTTGACAGAGGAGAAAATGTTGTAGGAATCTTTTTGGATCTTAGTAGGGCATTTGACAGCGTGTCACATAGTATATTGTTGACTTCACTAAAAGAAATGGGAATCTATGGAAAAGAGCTTGCATGGTTTACATCATATCTAGAAAATAGAAAACAATTTGTTGAATTGGATTATGTTGTGGAGCATGCAAGCACTAAGTACGTTGAAAAATGTAGATCTCAGCATCAGACGCTGAAATATGGGGTGCCGCAGGGATCGATCCTGGGGCCTCTACTTTTTCTCTGCTATATTAGAGGTATGCCAGGAGCGATTCCTGGAAACGGCGGGTCTATGTGTCTGTTTGCTGATGATTGTAATGTGCTGGTTCCGGGAAGATCAAAAGAACAGATTGAAACGTTTTCTCAGGAGAGTCTTTTATCCACTAAAGAATTCCTTGACCGAAAAAATCTGCTTATTAACACAGAAAAATCCAATTTTATATCATTTTCCACTAAACAACGTAGACAAAATTTTGAACCAAACATTTGCATAAAATCAGAAAGAATAAACCACGTAAAGCAAACAAAATTTCTTGGTCTAATTATCGATAAACATCTATCTTGGGAGGGCCATGTGAATTATGTGGTTAAAAAGGTATCTTCCGGTATCCATGCTCTGCGACAGATGTTCAGAGTATGCAGTTTAGACACTCTAAGAGTTGTTTATTTCTCATTAATACATTCACATATTTCATATGGAATTGTTCTATACGGGGCAACAACAAAAACTAATTTAGATAAAGTACTAATTAAGCAGAAAAAAGCTATCAGGGTGATGAAAAATCTTAAAAAGAAAGAGCCAGTCAAGAGCATCTTTCGTGAATTACAAATATTAACAGTTTATAGTCTTTATATTTATGAAACAATAATTTATGCAAAACAGATCCAACTATCATCCAGCTCAACAGAACAATTAGTATATAACACCAGATTAAAATTTAACCTACCTCGGCATAATCTTGAATTTTACACTAAAAAGACATCTTACATAGGGCTAAAATTTCTCCAGTCTATACCTGCTCACATCCGAAAAGAAACCAAATTTAATAAATTCAAGCAGCTCTTAAAGGAATATTTTTTAAGAACTCCCTGCTACTCAGTAACAGAATTCTTTAGTATTAGTAAAAAACAGTTAGGCCTAACTTAATTTGAATTCCAAATACTGTAATCCTTAAAGTCATGATTTTGTTAAAAGTTAAAGTAAAGTAATTTTAGTACTCTTTTTATGTATTTAATTAGCAGTAAGCAATTTTGAATTTAGCTCATGACTCTATTCAAGTTCATGTAATGTGAAACTATAATGAATAAAGAATGTTTTGACTTTGACTTGACTTTGATCTCCAAACAACCGCGGGAGATGATTACCATTTGCCGCAATGGCGGGAGAGGATGACAATGCCTCACGACCATGGGAGGCGATGATGTCTTCACGGCTGTGAGGGATTATAAGAATTTTATCGTGATCACGCAAGAAGATGATAATGTCCACACGACCCCGGGAAAAGATTACAATTTTGCCTCATTCGCGGTAGACGGTGATAATCTCATCACGACCGCGGGATGTGTTCATATATTGCCGCGATCAAGGAAGACGATAATTATGTCCACACATCCGCTGGAAATAATCAGAACTTTGACGAGATCGCGGGAGACGGACGATGACGACGTATATACAACCGCGGTAAATAATTAACATCTTGCCGCAATTGTGGGAGACTGTTAAGGTGTCTTCACGGCCGCAAGGGATTATCAGTTTACCGCGATCGCATGCAAAAACGGCCACAATTTTTTTTCTTTTTTCCAATTTTTTGGCGCCCCCAAAAAAAGCCAATTGCCTCGCGCCCTAGGCACGTGCCTACCTTGCCTATTCGGTAAATCGGCCCTGAGGAATAGATTTGAAATTAATTGATAATTTTGGTGGTCTAGTACAGCTTGTGACATCTAAGCTGGCACTTGGCCTATCGCTACTAGTACCTATTTCAAAAACATTATGTCTCGTCATGCGGGTAGCATCAACTGTCCTCGCGACCCATATGATGGCGCTCAAGTACAATGCAAGGGGAGTCAACCCCGTGAGGCAGCGGAAATGTTTGCAGTCCGGTCTTTTCCCTACCTCCACCCTCCTCTCGCCTACACTGCCCGCGCTAGGCCAAGTGCCAGCTTATGTGTCACGAGCTGTAGGCCTATATATTGTGGTTTACAAAATTGTCATAGAAATTGTTCAAATAAATAAATTATATTCATCATGAACTTCTGTATGTACAGGTTTATCTATTACAACACGGTAAAAAAGCGCACAAGAAGAAGACTTCGACAAAACGAGGAGAGCGAAGTCCGATCTACAATGAAGCTATGATGTTCAGTGTTCCTCCTCATACGTTGCAGGTTTGTAATGAAGATAACTGTTTATTAGTGCATAAAAGACCAAGATTGTTACATTTTTTCTTGATTACTAAAAACCATTTCTATAGTTTATTTTGTATAACCTCACATTTTCAAATCAAGGTAAATTTACATGAAAATAGCAAAATCTCCACAAATTTTACCACAATAAAACATTGTTTCCTTTTTCTACCTTCATAAGGTTATGAATCTACTACCTGTCATTTTAGTATTTTACCTAATTAACTTGAATGTTTTTTTTTTCAATATCAACTTTCACATTATAATAGTACTCTCTCGTGTTAACTTCTATTTTAGATCATTTTTCATTATGCTATTGAATTAAATGGTTTATATTACCTGTCCGTCAGTGGTCCTATTGTCGTCTTAGGCGACCAGTTTCGGGACTAAAATCCCATCCTCAGGCTATTAATAATTTTATTTCACTCAAATTGAGGTTGTCATTAAAAACAAAAACATGCACATAAAACATGAAACACAATTAGAATAGGACAACAATACCACCGGCATTCCATAGATAACGGGAGAGGAGCAAGGACACCTCAGTCATGACCACGCATCTACCCATGCCGCGTCGTAGTGTCTTGTACTGGCCAGTTACCAATATTTGTACAATTTCCTTCCGTGTTTTTGTATTTCATGTTTTATGTGCGTGTTTTTGTGTTTACCGACGACCTCAATTTGAGTGAAATGATATTTTTAACAGCCAGATGATGGGATTTGAATCCCTAAACTGGTCGCCTAAAACTACAATAAAATCACTGACGGACAGGTGATATAAACCATTTAATTTAGATCATTGTTTACTTTACCCCCCAACCCTCCATAGAGCAAAAGTCAAAAAGTGTCCCATCACTGAAAATATATTGACAGAGCAACAGAATTTATTGCTAACAAAATAAACTTAATTTTTTACGTAAATTGTGTTTGGAACTTTAAATTTAGTAATAAAAACCATTAGGTGAGTTTGAAAACTTCAAAATAATTTACTTAAATTGAGTTACAACAACAATCTACAACCAAAGTAAGGGCCAAGCTCGCAACATCGGCCACGTTATTGTAAGAAGTCAGTCAACTCACAAAGCTTTAACCCACTATACTCATTTGTTGACCTGTGTATCTTATGTTGTAGACTATCCAACTGCGAGTGACAGTGTCCGAGACTGGGTCAGAAGGCCGAGCTCTCAACATCGGCCACGTCATTGTAGGAAGTCAGTCAACTGGCAAAGCTTTAACTCACTGGACTCAAATGTTAACTTCCCTTCGTAAACCCATCGCCATGTGGCATCCACTCAGAAGCAAATAAACAATAAATGTCCCTCAAATCCAGAAGACCACTTGTTTAGTAATTTTATTTTTCTAAAACTTAAGTGAATAAAAATTTTACATCTATTTTATAAGTACCCAGTTGTAGATGTACCACAATAATCTTTCTCATTTCTATCTACTAAGAGGCCTTAAACAATCAAATTTGTGCTGATTAGACGATTTATAAATATTATATTTATGTAGAAACTGTTGACGTAGATTCAGATGTTGTAGACAGGTACTGAACTTAACATATTGAGGACCATAATTCATGAATTTTAATACACTTTGCAAAATTTTTGTTTATTCAAGATCTGTGTAGTTTGAAACATTGTAACTGTATTTTTCAAATGTAATGTAAGCTTCATATGGGAATATAGTGTAATATTGTACTGTAATTATTTTGTCACAATGAAAAGAATTTATTTATAAATTATCACGTTTGTTGATTTTAATATTACCTTCCCCCCCCCTTCTGAGTTAAAACTTAATCAAAATTAAATCCATCTAATTCTTTGACGCTGCTTTGCTTATTTTAACATGATTACAATGAATACAAATACCAATGAATACCCCATAAGAAGGAAAAGCTTTTAGAGAATATAGTCAGACTGGAATTTTTCGCAGAAATAAGATTTGCCTCTATCTCTCTTTCTCTCTAAGCTGATTCGTCTCACTCCGTCAGCTGACTTGGCCGGGCGGTTGCGATAGTCTAAATGAATTTGAAATGAAAATGAATGCATTTTTAACCACACAGAATTTTTTTAAGCACACAGACGTAAAATAAACATACACACTTAAACATACCTGTTAAATACAATTTATTTTTTGTCTTTATTGTTGAATTAATTTACTAATTTATGATTGTGCCTTTTAAACTGCTCTTAAACTACAGATTTTGCTAACTTAACTACAAGCTATACTGAAAATTGTACTTTTTATACTAACAAAACAGGTACCTTGTACTAGGCTTATGGTTAATCAGCTGATCCACTAATGTCATCTTTACCAACAGCTGTACCCTTGGTATCTTCTGCAGTAGTTCCATTTGAGGCTCCAGATTCCACTTTAGATCCACTTGCGTTATCAACAACTTCGTCTATGTTTCCTTGGCAGTTGTCTTGCTCCAAATCGATTATTGGCAGATCTTCTACCGTAGTTGTTATTTCATTTGAAACACAAGTTTCATCTTGTGTTACCGGTATTTCATTGTTCTGAATGTTTTTACATTCAGTTTTGGATTCACTGTTATTCTTACTTGTACTTTCAGTAAGCGTTTCACGCTCGATATTTACGTTTTACTCAACATTTACACCAATGAGAATTGTAGAATCATCAGTTAATTCATCAACTTGTTCACAAATCAGAGTTTCAACTTTTGTATCTTGAGCAGCTTTCTCCTCGTTTTCCTCAATCGTCTCTTTGGATTTCAACAATTGATATGCTTTAGATATTTTTTTGTCTTCTTCAGTGTAGGATTCAGGTTCACTTAAATCATTTTGAATATCTTCAACACACCTCTCGATTAGAAGATTTACATCTGAGTCATTCGAATCTTCATCAAATGTGTTATGCGTTATGTTTCCTTGCTTTTTGTCATTTCTTCTGGAGTGTGAAGCTGAAGCAGTAGATTTTACAGTAACAGTGTAAGTTTCAGGTCTTCTAGCAGTTGTTATTTTTGGGTGTAGCCTCTTAGGATGGCCCAGTTTTCCAAAATTAAACTGTGTTTCCGGAAAATTTCTGTACTGTGAAGTCTTGTTCTTTTTGGGTGGTTTTAAATCACAATAATTTTGCTTCATTTTACCTCTGGCACTAAAAGCAACTGGCTGCCTTGTTTTAATTGTGACAAAAGATGTAGCAAGAGATGATTCCAATTTCTTTAAAGATATTCTTAGATTTGATAGACGTTTGCTCACACGTCTTGCTCCCGTCAGTTTGTTTTCCCAGCAAGATTCGCGAGATTTAGTCTTTCTTTTCTTTTTTTGGCTGATTTCTTTATCAGGCTTAACTGGGTTCTTGATAATGTTACTCCCGGTAAAGATTTTCTTGCTTGGTAATTCACTCACATCATTAAGTTTCTTACGCTTCTTCGAAGTAATTTCTGTTTGCTGCTTTAAAGTTCCAGAATCATATTTTTTCTTCAAAGTAGACGTATTACCAAACCTGGTTCTTGAACTCCTACTTTCTATGGGTGTATCTGATTTTGTACCACTAACACTATTAAATTTGGATTTAGCCATATCAAGATTGCCTTCTTTTAACACGTCGATCAATTTCAATTCACATCGTCTACTCATTCTTATTCATCAAATATTGTCTTCTCTCGGCTGATGTATTCCCTTTCACAAAGTTTTTTGAACGCAGTTCTAGGGATCGAAATTGCAGTAATTGTTTTTTGTTTACCTGAAACAAAAATAAATTATCAAACTTTGATAAGAATACTGAATTTACACTAAACACCTTCCGACAAACAATCCTAAAATGGCATCATTGTTGATCTTCTTATAGTGTGGTGGCTTAGAGACAATATCGGCAAGGATCGTGACCTGATGGATTAAAGCTGCAGCTTTTGCACATTTCTTCCATACCCTAAATACAAACAATTTATGGGGGGGTGCCCGACTTTTAGGTCCGCCATCTTGAAATACGACGCCATCTTTGTTTTCCTTAGAGGAATTGAACTATTCATTGAAAATGTCATAATATCACCCAAAAGGACACATTTATGCCATTTTGTATATAACATGTTTTGTTCACAATTAAATTTGCTAAAAAATGATATAAAAACCACTTCGATAACTTAAATAGTCTTGAAGATATAAACTGTTAAAGTTGAAAATTTGATATATTCCTCTACACTAAATGTAGTTTTAGCTATATGTCACCCAAACGGTCAACGGTACGTATCTGTTATTATGATATATTTTATTCGTAATTAAATTTGCTACAAAATAAGATGAAAATCTCTAAATCAACTTAAATAGTTCTGAAGATAGAAACCGTTAAAGTTATAAGTTTCTTTAATTTCTGTATGCAATAGGTCCGTGTTTCAAAAGTCCCCGCGCTTTGTTTTTTCTGCACGTATTGCGTCAGAAGACTGCAACTTCACACATCAATACTGGACCTAAAACAGTACTTTTTAAAGTACATCTTGACTTTTTTCCCCCAAGGGGGTCGGCCCACAAGGAGTAAGTTGAAAATCTTAAATAAAAGCATAGGCCATGATGCATATCAAATTAAAGGGATTTACCTGTAGAACGCGTTACCACAAACTGCACTTTAAAAGGATATGTGGTTCAAAAGTCATACAATTTTATAGTTTTGCTTATTTATTTATTAATTAACGGCCAACACCATTTCATCTCATCTTAATGAAGCTTGGAAAGTTCCCTCGGGGTCTTAAAAATGGTAATGTGCTACCAATTTTCAAGAAAGGTGACTCATCCGTCAAAAATTATCGTCCAGTGGTGGTACAACCTGCATTGGCTAAGATATTTCCAGCAATTCTACTTCATATACTCTCTTTTTCTTTGAACAATGTCATCGTGCCCTGTCAACATGGCTTCAAGAAAGGGCGATCTACCTCGACCAATTTGGTTCTGTACCAGGTTGACATTATGCAAGCCTTTTCTCTCAACCATAAGGACGATTCTGTCAATTTGGACCTATCCAAGGCTTTCGACCGTGTAAGTCACACTTATCTCGTGGCAAAGCTTGGTGGATTGGGGATCACTGAATCATACTCGTGTGATTTGAGGACGATTTGTGGAATCACTTTTTAACCATGAAATTTGCTGGAGCGAAGTCTTGTAAGTTTGAAGCTTCTTCTGGTGTACCTCAAGGATCTCTACTGGGACCAATTTTATTTTCAATATTCAATAATATATGGCTGACGTTGTCAAAGATTCTTGACAACCAGGTTCATTCACTCCTATTCCTCTGATAAGACCACCATTTTGAGAGGGGTGCCTCAGGGCTCTTTTTTAGGACCTACCCTATTCCTGCTCTTCATTAACACCCTTCCATCTTGCATATCAACCGCCAAACCAACACTATTTTCTGATGACACCTCACTCTCCATTTCCAGCCGCAACATTGAAAGCTTGGAGCTCACTACCTTTTGGGAAGCCAGTAACTTAATTGAGTGGTTTGATTCAAACTTTCTGGAGGTCAACGCCAAAAAAACCCAACTTTTGCACTTTTCTATTTCAAAGAGACTCTCTAATGGATTCAGCCTACTTCTGGACGACACAACAGTTCATCCAACTAACAGTGTAAGGTTTCTGGGACTGACACTAGATAAACATCTTGATTTCTCAGATCACATTAAGCAGGTTTCAAGAAAAGTCAGCTCTGGAATTTTTGTTCTACGTAGTTTAAAGAACATATCTACCTTCGAAGTTCTAATATCCGTATATTACGGACTAATATATCCTCATTTAGCGGATGCTATAGCCTACCTATATGGAACTATGAAATTTTAAAGACTAAATTTCTATTTAAATTCCAAAAATGGGCTTTACGAACAATTGTATCTCTGACCAAACGCAAATCATGTAGAAATTTCTTCTCAGAATCAAATTGCCTCCAACAGGACATCAATGAAATTTCAATGTGGTTTATGCAAAATGGAATGCTTTTGAATTAATTCAACTGCATGGTAGTTTCATTCAACAGGACCTCAACTGTTAAATATTATCACTCTTTTTAACCATTCAATAAATGGGAACGCACTTGTTAGATCCACCTCTGTCAACGACCTAGGAGTATCATTTACATCATCTCTCAACCCTGATGATCAAGTTAACAGATTAACAAGGAAAGCAAACTCAGCCCTTGGTATCATTCTGATATTATCCAGAAATGGGTTCTCTGTGTGGGCTGTGACCCCCTTGTTGGAATATTGTTCTCCTGTATGGTCTCCATTTTGTTCTTTCCCCAAGTTGGTCTTTCACAGGACATCGAAAGAGTGCAGATCTTTTTTTTAGAATCGTAGGACTTAGTCTGGGATACCCATTCAGGGATGTACCCATTTGAGGATCTTTGACAGCATCTTCGGCTAAACCACTTGAGTTCTCGAAGGCGTATTGCTGACCTGGTTTTCCTGAGGAAGATTCACATTACAGAACTTGACTCTCCTGAGCTGCTGAGCAGGGTTTATTTCACTGCTCCAGACCATCCCGATCCCAGGACCTATTTGAAAGAGTATATAATTCTACAGCATATGCCTACAACAGCACGCTACCAAGACTACATCGTTTGGGAAACAGTATTTCTAAAAATCTTGACTTTTTCTCCTCAAGTTTTATTACTTTTAGGAAATAGCTGCTTGCTTGTTTTTCATAATCCTTGGTGCATTATACAGTAGAGTGGTCCTATGATCAGGTTTGTTATTGCATTTTTTGTTTGCTTTCATATTTATTAAAATGTTGATGCATGTTGATAGAATTTCTAAATATTATCACTTTAAACCGATCAATTTATGGAATTCCAGATTTATTTACATCTTTTTTATTCAATTCGTGTTAAGTTTGTTATACATTTATTCTAGTTAATCATTTTTGCTTGTTGGTTATGTATAACCCTTGTTGTTAAGTTACGTTACGTATGTTATATCCATATATATGCAATGAGATGAAATGGTGTTGACCGTTAATTAATAAATAAATAAGCAAAACTATAAAATTGTATAACTTTTGAACCACATGTACTTTTAAAGTGCAGTTGGTGGTAACGCGTTCTACAGGTAAATCCCTTTAATTTGATATGCATCATGGCCTATGCTTTTATTTAAGATTTTCAACTTACTCCTTGTGGGCCGACCCCCTTGGGGGAAAAAAGTCCAGAAGTACTTTAAAAAGTACTATTTTAGGTCCAGTATTGATGTGTGAAGTTGCAGTCTTCTGACGCAATACGTGCAGAAAAAACAAAGCGCGGGGACTTTTAAGAAACACGGACCTATTGCATACAGAAATTAAAGAAACTTATAACTTTAACGGTTTCTATCTTCGGAACTATTTAAGCTAATTTCGAGATTTTCATCTCATTTTGTAGCAAATAAATTTAATTACGAATAAAATATATCATAATAACAGACACGTACCGTTGACCGTTTGGGTGACATATAGCTAAAACTATATATGTAGTGTAGAGGAATATATCAAATTTTCAACTTTAACAGTTTATATCTTCAAGACTATTTAAGTTATCGAAGTGGTTTTTATATCATTTTATAGCAAATTTAATTGTAAACAAAACATGTTATATACAAAATGGCGTAAATGTGTCCTTTTGGATGACATTAGGACATTTTCAATGAATAGTTCAATTCCTCTAAGGAAAACAAAGATGGCGTCGTATTTCAAGATGGCGGACCTAAAAGTCGGGCACCCCCCCATAAATTGTTTGTATTTAGGGTATGGAAGAAATGTGCAAAAGCTGCAGCTTTAATCCATCAGGTCACGATCATTTTGCTAAGCCACCACACTATTAAGCAATAAAACCATCTTGGAGCACAAAAGCATAATTGTGAATATTTTTACCCAATTAACTAATGCGTAAACACTATAAAATCAAATGATAAAAAATCATCGATACTAATATCGATACAAGGACTGGAAAAATATTGATATTTTGTATCGATACACGGGAGCGTATCGATATAACTTACCCATATCAATAGACCTATAACCATCGTATCAAATATTGTATTGTTTATCTATACTATTATATTATAAAAATCTAGTGGTGTATGTCTGTATGTTTGTTACTAATAGGCACATAAACTACTGAACTGACTGGGCTTAAATTTTACAAAAATATAGCTACCATATACCAAGGACCTTTATAGGACTATTCACACTTCGATACTGACCGTCAGTGACGTAGCCAGGGGGGGGGTCCTGGGGGTCCGGACCCCCCCCTTCAGGTCTTAAATATAATATTTTTTGTTAAATTAAATGTAGAATTATATAATCATACTGTATTGACGTTGGGGTTGATTATTTTCAATGCCAAGAGAGCTAAAAAAGACCGTTTTAGGGTCTATATTTTTAAAAATTTTCCCGGACCCCCCCTTTACCTGGACTCCCCGGTCGGTCGACCCCCCCTATTTTGAAATCCTGGCTACGTTACTGTGACCGTGGGCTTTGCCCCTTTGGCTTTAAAAGTTCTGAGGTGAGGATTTTAAAAGTAAATATTGATTGGTCTCCATGGCTGCCATGAGAACACATACAATGTTTGCAATTTGCTATGCCACTAAAATGTAAACAAGCTGAACCGTCAAACCACATTAATTCACAATTCCACAGCTGGTTTATAAATAGGCATATAATATTCTCTACAATCATGTGACATGTTTATTTATTCTTATATTTGATGGTTCATTGATTATTGATTATATATCTGTTTCTGTATCTAACGCTAATTAATTATTTTAAAATTCCCTAATGTGAATGATTGTATTGAAAGATTTTGGTGTAAAAAATAGTGAAATTATGAAGTCACATTTACTTGAATCATTTTAAAATTTGTGAACACTTAAAATGTATTTAGAGTAGGACACACACACCTTAAAAATTGAAATTTTTCTCAAGGAGATAATTAATTGTATATTTATGCCATTTTGAGAGAAATGTTGTTCACACCATTTGCATTTTCACACATATTTAAATCATAATATCATATTACTTTATAGATTAGTTATGATGTTTTCTAATCCAGAGGTAGTTACTACCTATCTATATTATAACTTTTGACACTTCCTGTAGATTTCGCGTTCTATTCTAATAATGAATAACTTTTTATTAAACATACATCAACCCCGGACGAAGGACGGGTCCTCTGCTAATTTATTAATATAATTATAATTTTTAAGGTAAGCTATCCTCCCAGCTTCCTCCCTTCCAATGCAGTAGTGGAAATTTGATATTTTACTCTAACCCTACCATCCTCAAAAACACTGATAAAACATGTATTTTCAGCTGTTTTGAAAATAACCCTCAAAACTATAGGGCCATCATTAGGCCTATATCAGCCTGATATTCTACTTCATCAGTTTCTCTGTTGCCTTTTTATAAAAACAAATGTTTAACCAGTAAAATGTTTAACAGGACAAATTTATATATCTGATGATGACAAAAAATGTACACAAAGAATACCTCTTTTTTATGTAATGAGTGTATTATAAATTCATAATCATGCTTTAGTAATTAAAAGTGTTAAATGTAAATCAATAACAGTAAATTAAAGAATATTAAAGGTTACATTATATCAAATCAATATTTAAAACTTTCTTCAAATGTCTTCCTAAACAATCAAAGAAATACTCGTTCTATATCCCAACAATTAACTCTATAATCATTATTATTTTCTTACCTTAGAAACAGGTGTTAACAATGTGCATACAACGATCAACAAGTACTGCAAGCTGGAAACATCAGTTTATAAGACTGGAGGTGACCTTGTACATATGATACACACCTGGCCAACTGACCATATGATCTCTGATTGTTACGACTCCAGGAGTCTTCAACACAGGTGTGGGTTACCAAACTAAATTTGAGGTTATATTTTAATGGAAGGTCAAGTGATTGATAAGGAGTTTTTTAACCCTCCGTCGGTTGCACCTAAGTATTAATATACAAATTATTTATATTATAGTATCGATCGTCCACAATGGCTGTCCTTGATCATTGGTCGTTTGATGAATTATTCTTCCTAAAAACCAGCTGATCTTGCATCTTGCTTCTAAACTCATCCATTAATCAAATTTGGATTAAATTACACCTAGTAATGTCACAAGATTATCCCACTTTATTCTTCACTCACCCGGTATTCTTATACAGCATAAAATGTGTTATGCACTACACAAATGATGTTACTGTCTCTTTAAATATATTAACCCTTCCCGGACAGGCGAAATAGAATGGGGAAAAATTATAGGAAAAAATAAAAACTAATTTTCCTTATTTGTGTTTTGCTATACACGTATACATAAAATCGCTACTCGTCCGCGGATATATCCGCCAACCGCCTTTGAAGATATGACCATGACAACATTAGGCAATAAAAAATGAACAATATATGTAAACAATAAATAAAAGTGGCGCCTTGGTACTGCGAAACATCTGGTTACTGCTCAAGCACCTGCCGGTCTGTCTGAAGAGAAGGCGGGTGTATCCGTTTCCCGTCCGGAACATCAAAAACCATAAGCGGATTTATCCGCAACCCGCCCTTTATCGCCAAAGACTTAGGCGGAAATATCCGTCACCCGTCCGGGAAGGGTTAAGCGAATGATTCTAAAATTTGTAAAATATGAAAAGTATTTCCTCCTGTTATTTTGGATTCACTCACATTCATTCCGATGCATTTTTGTTTTAAATCTGTCATGGCTAATAATTGCACATGGTTAACTTATTAATAATTTAATGGATTTAATATGAAAATAACTAAACATAACTTTGAATGTTAACCAATATAGACAACTCAAACACTTAAGATGGCAAAATAGGTATACAGGGATTGGTATTTAACTCTAAAGTTGTTGATTCAGCTTATAAAAAGGAAAAATAAAATAAAAACTCTCGATATTATGATCCGTATGTTTATTGAATAATAAAAAGACATTCTTCACATCAGACATTTAGTTGGAAAATCACTTAAGTAATACACAGGAACTAGTACATGAATGTAACCGATAAGATCATAATCAACATCCCTACGATTCATCTCAACTGCTACAGTGACATGATAAATGCATCAGTTTTCACAGGAAAGTATTTCTTTTCAGAGGTAGTTTATTCAATGTCATTAAAATAGTTCACAAAAACTTATAATTTATCACAAACTAAAACTACTGTCTGTATTTAGTAAATACAAAAATCTCTGGAACAGTAAAGTGTAATATAAAATATAATAAGTAATTAATAGCTATTAATATGCAGCGAAAACCTGTGTGAAGGGGTCAAAGTTGGCCTGAATGACTGTAATATCAAACCAACCTGTATAATTAGAGGATTACCAGTATAGTAATGTAATATTTTAAAATATTAATCAAATAAATAATTCAATTGCTCATGTGGTTAAACAATCTTTAAATAACAAAATCCCTTCCATTTAAACTGGTTAAAAGCAATGCATTTTTAACTAAGACAATAAAAATACAACAGCAAGATTGTTTATCGTCTAGATATAAAAATGTAAAATTAAATAGTTTACTAAAACAGAAAACCACTGATACAAATAAGTTGGTATTAATATTGATAATAGCATTCTATTTTGTGCATGCAACATATTCCATATCAAAACTACTGTCTTGAGTAAATTTAAAGAAAGTTGGCATTGAAATAAATTAACTACAATACTAACAACTACATAACTGCTTTAAAATATATATAAAAAACATAAATATAATCCTTGATAAAAAAAACCTTGTAAGAATGAAAACCCACGGATGCAGAACAGTAGTTGTCCAAATATTGGATCAATATCATACTCTGTCTGTGCTTTTTAAACCTAAATGCTTGCATGATTTAGCTGGTTTAACGAAAGTATAGTCTACCTTATTCTATTGTGATCGCTTTAGTAAAACCTATCCAAAATAAATATCCAGTATGAACTACACAACTCCTAGTAAAGATTAGACAACCCTTCGTTGTAAACTTTAAGTTGGAAAAAATTAGATATTCTTTGTAAAAAAAAATAGTTGTAAATTGCAGAAAGAGATTATTTTCTAAACAGATACATGCATTTTTAAAAGAAATTTATTGATGGATTAGTGGACAGGTGAAAGAGAGCACCATCTAATTAATATGAAAGGAAGCTGTTTGGCTGAGGGAATTTTGGAAAGAGGTGGAGATCTCCTAGCCTATTTGGGAAAAATAAGTCCAGGAGCCAATATATATACAAACAGTCCACATAACATAACACTGATAATTTTATCAATCTACTTGAAAAAGTCCTTTATTGGGACGATATATCACTCTTATGAAACCTTTTTTTAGTCTGTCAGCTCATGGTATGCAGATTTCAACCCTACCGCTTTCCAAAAAAAAGTCCTTTATCCATTTATGGGACACTGCAGATTCTGCACCTGATTTTCTTTTTTTATATTTTTAAGACGGATGCTTCTGAATTAATATTGTCAATAAAAGAAAACAATTTTAGCGATGGAACATATTTAGTATGATTCTAATACAGACTTACTGAGTAATAATTGAACTTAGACTAATCTATGTACACAATATCATAGTACTTATTTGTACACATAGGCCCTTACAATCAAAAACAAATTCAAAAAGCTATTATGTCTCACTACAACCAGAAAAACAAGGATAATAAGGAATTTCTGTCACCCATCTAAAATGAAATACTTATAGTAAATTAACATATTGTTTGTACTAATTGAAGAGTCCAAGGGAAAAACATGCTAACCCCACAAAAGTAAATTTTCCAGGGGAGCAAAAAGTTTTTCAAGGATATACCCGCCAGCCCATTGCTTTATTAATTGTTTTTTTATGAAGGATTTTTGAAGTAAATGTTATGTATTTTAATAATTTTTGATTGAAATAGTTCTAAATCGGTTGGGTTACAGAGAATGATACAGTTAAACACTCTAACTAAGTAATTTCCTTGTCAAAAACGGGCTAACCCAAATTTCCTGTTGGTTCATGAAACGAGCACCACTGAAGTAAACAAACCATAAGCGCATGCGCGGCTTGAGGGTTGCCCCGTTCTTGCCTACACTCATTGTGGGTTGCCCCGTTCTTCCTCTGGATGGTTTATTTCAAAGATGATTTACTCTTACTAGGAGCCTTTTTTTGTCAATTTTCATTATTGCAAACTGTTTAGATTTAAAAGATCTATTTAAAACCGTTCATAACTAAATTTTGCATTTTTTTAGGGTTAGCCCGTTTTTCCCTTGGACTCTTTAATTGTTATTATTTATAATTATTTATACGGTTCTAATGGTTTATACTAAATATCTCAGTTTGTATAACTGTATGAGCTGATGCCATAGGTAGGTAGTTATTTCTCAGTAATTTTAAAAGTAAACATTATTGCACTTTTATATACCATTTATTTTTTTATATAGACACAGAGGTTCAATACTTTTTATTCTGCTCCTGTATAAAAACATTGTTAAGCCCTAGTTTATGTGAGATAGTGGGAAGCAAGCCTCGCTTCTTTTAGTTACCTGATGTTCCAGCAAAGTTACCCCACTTACATTAAATAAGCATTAACTCACTTAAATTACCCTCTGTTAACTTTAATTTTTCCTTAGTGAAGATATTTTTAAAGTCAGAACCTCCAACAAATTTGAGATCTCTCTAAATATATTTCCCCTTTTAAATGAGGAGTATACCTACTATGTGGACAGTAAAACAGTAAATAAAACTTTCATTCCATTAAAAAAAACTATCCTATATAAAAATTTCTTAGATCTAATGTTAAAATAAACTTTCTTTTGACACACAATCAAACATTGCAGCTAGTAAGAGAAAAAAAATCTACACTATTCCTAGCTTCACAAATATTACAGAATGTATATTAATCTTAAAAGTCTAACTCAAATCAACGTCAACTTCCATACTAGAAGGAGCAGTTGTCAAACGTTCCTTTCCTCCACATTCAATTTCCATGCTAGAATATTCTTCATCAACACTCATTTTGTTGCTGAGAGTGTCAGAACTATGATTCAGTGTTTCTCCATTTGTTCCAACAATAGAATTTTGAGCATTTTCTTCTTGGCAGGTCTCTTCAACCTTTAGTATTCCTCCATTTTTTTCTTCATTCGTAATATTGTCTGCTGGCAGTTCAACGTTTGTACTTATCGGTTTTTCTTTGGGGCAACAGTTTTCCAGTTGGTTCTCAATATTATTTTTTCCACAAGCAATAGTTTTGATTGGACTGACTGAAGAATCTTTACTTTCAGTTACAATGGTAGAGATTTCATGTTTTAGGTTTTCTCTTGGTTCTTCTGTGTTCAACTGTTCTTCCTTAGAACGATGCTCATCACTAGAATTAGTTGGTTCTTCTATCGTTATTGTGTCAAATTCTTGTGTTATGCCAGTAGAGCTGCCATTCTCAAGCTTTGAGTCAACTGATTCTGAAAGTGAAGTTTCACTTTTAACCTCCAAGGCATGAGATTCTACAATGTTCGATGTATTACTGACTTTCAAAATTGTATCAAATTCTTGTGTTATGCCGGTAGAACTGCAATTTTCACGCTTTGATTCTACTGATTCTGAAACTAAAGTTTGTTTTTTTTCTTCTAAAGCCTGAGATTCTACATTTTCAGTTGTAGAACTGACTTTCACAACTTCAACAGAGTCCAAGCTTCGCTTACTAACGGTATCAGCAGAATCTTCTTTAACTTCTATCACATCGCTTTTTTCACTTGCCAAGCTCTGACAACCTTTTGTGATTTCGTTCTGCACGATTTCAAGGTGTTTTTGTTCTTCTTTATCCTCGGATATCTGTAATAAGTGCGGGTCATTTACTGATGATTTCAATTTTTGTTTGTTTATTCCATTTGTAGTTATCTCATGTGGTTTTTTCAAACTTGTATCACAAGGAATGATTTTATCTCTACTCTGGTCTACAGTTTTGTGTTCACCATTTAAAGGCTGAGTTGATGGAGGTTTTGTATTGGATAATTTATTTTCTGGCTTGATAACACAGGAGGAATCAACCTTGCTTGGTGATAAACTGCTCTTGGCTATTTTGTTTTCGTCAATCTTGTCAAAATTAGGGTATTTTCCATTGGTTACATCATGATCTTGTAGTGATTGGTGTGCTGATGATTCTTTAATAACCTTACATTCAGCAACAATATGATCATTTGCTGTGTTTTTCTTGCAGTCCAGACCTAATGAACCCTCTTGATTTTCTTTCAAAGTCGAAATCTCTTGAATAGTATTAGATTTTATTGCTGAGTCAGTATTCCCATTCGTACTTTGTTCATTGGGTTCTATATCTTCTCTTTTCTTGCTTGAGGAATCTTTACTCTTTTCTTTAACATTATCTACAGTTTTATCCACTATTACAGCATTTGCAAGATCAACTTTTTTATTGCTAGAATGGGAAATGTCCTTAACTACAATACCTTCTTGCAAAACACCTTTTGTGTTATTTTTTAATTGAGATGAAGAAGTGGATTTCTTTAGGTCAACAAGTGGATCAAGATTATGGTCATTTTCCTGTGATGTCAATTTATTTTGGCAGTCAGAGTGTTCTTGTGTTACTTCCAATTTAACTTTATTGTCAGAATCTAGACTACTTTTTACTTCATTAACACACTTGCTGTTACTGTTTATTTTTACTTCATTTCCAGTATTTGTGCTAATGCTGGGACTTTGTTCAGATGAGGCAGTGTCATTTTCATTTACAGATGTTACTGATGTATCTGATAAGCGCAATTCCATTTCTTCTTCTAGGTTCTCGTCTAAATCATTTTCATTGTCTGTGGGTTTGTCTGCGGGTGTTGTGGTTTCAATGCAAATTTTATCATTAGTTTTACCATCCATGATTTTCTTTTCCTGTTCAGTATCCATATTAACACATTCACTTACAGGAGTGATAAATGTTTGAGACGATGGGTCAGTTTCTTCTTTATCCATTTTTAATAATGTAGTCTGTGATTTGGATGTGATCAAGTTGACATCTTCACTACAGACAGCTTTGTCTAAATCTGATGAGTCCTTGGGAATGCCAACTGAAGAAAGAATATCGTCTAAAATACCTTGAGCAACTAACACATTTTCTTGTATCCCAGCACCGCTTGAACTTCTTTTCTTTGAAATACAAGAATTGAATTTATTCTTTATGGATGTCGCCAAGGTGTTGGCTTTGGGAGAATTGATGTCTTCTTTTGGTTTGGAAGAAGATTTTCTTGATGAATTACGCACCAATGGAGATTTACTTGAAACAGTATTTTTTTCAACAGTAGATTTGACTTTCTTCTTAGGTGGTGATACAGCTTTTTTCTTTTCAGTCGGCGTTTTGACTCCAATCTGACTTTTTGGTGATTTTGCTAATGTTTTGCCTGCAGCTTTTGACTTAGTAATCGATTTAGGAGAAACCGATTTCTTATTTTGCTTGGGTGATTTATTTTTCACAGTTGTTTTCTTAACTTTTATGCTAGGTTTTTCTTGTTTGGCACCAATTGCTTTCTTTTGCAAGATTGTTTTTTTCCACTCGGAACCCTTGACTGTTGGTTTGATATTCCTATTTCTTCGTGAAGTCAAAGTAATATTTTTTAAATCATCAGTCTTCCTTCTTTTAGCCTCATTGTTTACTTCTGTGTTACTGCTGCTTATTGATTGAGCATAACTCCTTTTGTTACCTCTACCATTAGTTTCATTTACAGGCTTTTTCTTAACTGCTGGTGATGTTTTAACTGGAGACTCGTTAGCCTTTTTAGCCACCACTTGTTTTTTAGATTTTGTTTGTTCTGTGGAATTGGATTTACGCTTGCTGGTAGATTGTGCGTTGTTAGCTCTTGAAGGGATTTTTGTCTTGGAAGTAGATTTTTTATTAGGGCTTGAACGCTGAGCATTAGATGTCAAAGAATTCCTGGTACTATCATTGTTAGTGCGGCTACTTCTTCTACCTGAATTGGCAGGAGAACTTGCAGCAGGTTTAGTTTGCCTTTTTTGTGTCTTCACAGTTAGTTTGAGCTGGGATTCAACTTTTTTCTTCGTTTTGCTTTCTGCTACCTTTTTAGTAATTTTACCGCCTTTCTTTGCATTTACACCAACAGAAGAATCTTTTTTAGTCGTTTTAGCGGGTTTACTTTGTTTGCGTGCCATAGTTTTGGCAAAAAATATACTTCCTTAGTTTACAAAAATCAAAAACCTTTTACTTAGGCTTAGTCATTTCCAATAACACAACTTTTTTCTAATACATTATTTATACTGGTATCTTCTTTAAGACCTGAAACAAAAAATAAATTATGTTAGTAAAAGTATTAAAGCGAATGTCTAGGCTTAATGATTGAACAGTAACAGAAATAAACAACATCATAGATGATGGAGAGGTGGGATACAACAAATGAAAAGTAATAGTTTGGAATACTTGTTAGTATTATTACTAACTAGCAGAGTACTTGTCCTTCGAACATGATTGGCATATAAGTATAAAATGCTTGGTACAGTTATACCATCTAGACAAAAAGAATAAATAGACCGTCAGCAGTGCTGCGGTTAGCATAGGTTCCAGCGCCCACCGCCAGGAGTGCTGTGTAGTTACGGCGCACACCGCTGCAGCGTCTGCTGGTAGCATACGGCTCTTGCGCTCCTCGCCTGCAGCATAACTACACGGCACTCCTAGCAGTGGGCGCCGGAACCATCCTTTGACAGTCTATATTTATTCTATTTTTCTATGGTTATACTCAAGCTTTGCGTTTGCAATGGGGGAGGACACAGTATAATCAAATTTGTTTCTTTAAATTTACGGTATACTAAAGTATTACACATTTACCATAGCCATAATGTTCTACTACTTCACCCAAACAATAGAAAATAACAAATTATTAAAGATTCACAAAATATGATAAACTATTCGTGAAATTAAAAACATAAACATAACTGTAAACAGACAGTTCTCATTGCGTATCACAGTTTTTTTGTTGCTGCTTAGTCAAATTAGCTGGTTTCGTAAATTAAAAAATAATGGTGCTGCACCCTGTTGGCAAATCTTATAACTTTTAATGCTTTTGCATATCATAGAACCAACCTTTTTAGTCGAAACAGCTGACTAAATTCTTTAATTAAATTTAAATATGAGTACTCATAAGGTTAACATGCGAAACTCCAGAGCGACTGGGGCGGAGCCCGAAAGGATTTTTAAGAATATGCCTATATGTTAATCGGGAATGTGAGCTATCATCATGCCCAATCCGTTGAGTAATTAATGCGTGATTGAACTTCAAACAAACAACAATTACACAAACTTTCACATTTATAATATTACAGTAGAACCTCGATAAGAAGACTCTCGTGGGGATTATTAAATAAGACTTGTTATCAAGGTCGACTTCTTATCGAGGTTTACAATAACATGTGATTAGGGGTAAGATAAAATTCAAGGGTATTAGAAAATGACACTTGTTATAAAGGGTGACTTGTTATCGAGGGTCTTCTTATCAAGGTTCCACTGTAGTAAGAAGTAAGATTAGAGCCAAATTGAGTGTATAAACTCATCAATGATTTGTTAGTAGAGTCAGATACAACCTTGCCTGGAAGCAATGTATTGTGTGTGAGTTAACTCATCGTTAAGTTATAGGATTGAGTATCAGCAGACCTGGGGTGATCACTCGGAAGTGTGACCTGTGCTGACTAGCTATCTTGAGTAGAGGCGACTTGAACTTTTTTAAGTGGCTACCTTAGTATTAAACACGAACCAATCATCAGAGCCATAAATCAAAATCTACACATTTCAACTCACAACCAAGTTGGAGTTCGTCTGACTTGAGTTGACTAGTACTAAAATTATTATTTGAATAGAATAACATAACATACCTAACAACTTATTTTCATATTTGTTTTAGATAATCTATTGATCCCCCCAAATCCAGAGGAGCAGTTCTCTCTATTTCATGCTGCCTTCTATTTAACCCCCCCCCCCCCCCCCAATTTACTTGGCAATTACCCCTTACCACATAAAACTAACATTTTTTAAAGTATTTAGTAATTTAAATTCCATTTTGTATTTGTTAAAAGTTAAAAGCCATTGGTATTTCAAGTAACATGTTGACGAGTCCAATTTGGATAAAATGTTTCTGTAACCACTTGAGAATGTCATATTTAGCGTGATCACTCGCACCACCCTGTGTCTCGACTCAGTGTTAAATTAATCGGAAAAATTATGTTTGACTGTCAATGAATTAACACTAACCTCAAATGACAAGGTCGTCTAATTTAAAAAAGAACAATAACGTCTCATGTGAATTAAAAGGGTTATAGGCCTAATTAAGTCCTTGTAATCTTTAAAAATGAATAATAATTCTAATTTGATGATTTATACAATCACCGATGTTCACCCAGCATCGTCTCGGCCTACATTGCTTTGACAACACGACTTACGCCGCCGCGGCTAAAATAACATCCTCGACACTTGACATCCTCGGAAGGACTGATCCGAGGAACCAGAACGAGGCGAGTCATAATCAAGGTCGAAATTATTTCAAACATTTTCATGAAAAATGGAAACAAATCATGAAATAAAAATTGCAAACAATTATTTTAAACTACTGTTTGCAACTGCTGTTTGCAATAAAAGTTTGCAACTTTTTGTTTGAAACTCCGGTGTAAACGCGGCTTTAGGCCTACACATCTCTGTCTGCTGTCACTACCCGCTAACAACAGTTACAACAACTGAGAGAGAACTGATTTCATTCACTGAGGACTGATGACGACGGAATGTTTAGTAAGCTGTTATTGGGTGATGTAACTAGGGTGACTTGTACAATTTTTGGATGAAGAGAAACCTAAGAAAGAAAAAGAATAGAAGAACAAACCAAAGAGCATCTTAACATTCCTTTTACAAGTAGTGTTTTTTTTATCTTTAAGTTGGCTATGGCCTATACACTTTAAAACGACTTATCTAATATTTTTATTATTTTCAATCAATTGTTTAAACTAAGGCAACACCAATGCTGTAGTTGATGATTATTACAGTATCGACATTCCTCTGTTGTGATTTAAAGCAATACTGTAGCCTACCGGCCTATCACGAGCAGTAGCTTACTAAACTCTCTACTGTTTTGTTTTGTTCTTTACGTGGTTTATTGCTATACAATAGCCTACAGTGTTTGGCTAGGTTTTAGGTGGGTTAGGTTAGAGTAAGCTGTGATTTTAAAAATATAGTTTGCAACCTGTACCAATGACTAGAAATGTCATGATTGCGCAATATTAAAGATCCCTCCCCTTTAGTACCCCGGATAATCAAGGTTCTACTTTCAAATGTAAACACTGTACCTACTATAAAGTATTGTAGCCTAGGTTTCTTTAATTGTGTTCTAATGAGGTCAAATCCCGACCTATATATTGACCGATACTGGTTCTGAACCTCGACTTAGCGAAATTCCTGCAAACCTAACCAGAATATAACGAACCTCGTTTTAACGAAAATCCTTTATGTAACGAATATTCAGTTTGGTCCCTTTAGATTCGTTATACCGAGGTTGGACTGTATAGTATAAATAGTAAATAAATACCAACACTTAAGGTAAGCAGTGATGGTGTTAACTTAAGTCAACATGCAAGCGCCAACACAGTTCTAAGTTAGGTAAGTAGGACAAAACAGCGTTCGAAGGCAAATTCTCCAAAATAATTTATTATTAATGCCGCCAAAACACAAGCTACGGTACTATCGAGCACTGTTATGGAGGGAGGAAGATTATCCTAAAGGCAGGGAGAAACAACAAAGGCCCTGTCATTATGATGTACAGCCTACTCTATGATGAGGTATGAGATGCAGTGCTGAGCTCTCAAACTAGCCTAAGAACCTTGAGCAACAAGCTAAAGTAGGCTAACTTTAAAAAAATGTTTGCAATCCTTCTGCTTATAAAAAAAAACTATGCCTAAATTGTTTCTGGGAATATTTTTCACTTAGGCTAATCGTCCACTTCGAATAGGCCTGAGCATTAGGGTTGCAATATCCCCGGATTTCCACGGAGATTACCGGGTTTTGACGTTCAAAATTAATTCCGGTCGCCAACGACATTCTTAGTTAATTGTTTATCGTCTGTTTCATTGCTCCCAGTCCTTCCATTAGCGTCTGCCGGCCAGTACGAAGTCCGAAGGTATCGTGTTCACTTCCAATACCTAACCGAGTCTAGCAGACAAAAAGTAATTTGTTTATGTTACAGTAGAACCTTAAATACAAGACTCTCATAAGTTATGGATTATAAAATAGACTTGTTATCGAGGTTTTCAATAACATGTGATTAGGCATAGGGGTAAGTTAAACTAATTTCAAGGGGTTTTGAAAATGACCCTTGTTATTAAGGGTGATTTGTTATCGAGGTTCTACTGTACGGTAGGTATTCGTTAAGTTATTTTTAGTGAGAAGTGATAAAACTGAAGCAAGATAAGAATAACTTATTATGCTTTCGCGTACCATATTTGGATATTGACATTGTAGCACGAATATTGAACAGTAATGGTATGGATTAATTAACATAAACGAATGACACCACTGGCCCGAATGTCAATAGGTCTAACTTTTAAGTTAGTCGTAACAACTGGTTTTTTGAAGTTTTTTGACAGTTCCATTCATTTATTAATAAAAAAGTGTTTACTTTCAGGCCAGTGACATAGTTCTTTTCCATGTGTACCTATGACTCATACTATGTTTCTGTTAAGTTATAGCCTAATAGGCTAATTAATTTATGACCGGGAATATTAATATCGTAATTTACAAAATTAATATTTTCTGTTCCATTTATGGTTTTTAATTCCTTTTCTGCCCCTCCATAAAGTCCAAAACTTCATTCAATACCCTTTTTACACAGTTTCACAATTCAGGAAGTACGTTATGTGAGCTCCGGGACACAACAGCACCTACGCAATCAATGCCTAAGAATTGATGACGCAATCAATGCCTTCTAAGAGTCAATGACGCAATCAACGCTGTAGAGGGTAAAGCTTGCCGGCAGCTTTGAAAAAATGGTGGATGCACTTTCCCGGCTCATCACCGTGCTTCACCATAAACAAAACAAGGTCAGTCCGCGATCAACGCACACTGTACAAAAACTTCACTTCACAAGAGTCGCACTGAGGTTCGTTAACGTCAGCCATCTCGGAACAAACTACTAAAACTGGCAAAAACTGACCGAATGAAGACGAAGCACTAAAGGTAAATACCCCAGGAAACCGTGATTAACCATAAACAAGACAATGTCAGTCCGCGATCTACGCACACTGTCCGAAAACTTCACTTGACAAGAATCGCACTGAGGTTCGATTTCGTCAGCCATCTCGGAACAAACTACTAAAACTGGCGAAAACGCCGAAAACTGACCGAACAAAGACGAAGCACTACAGCTAATTACCCCAGGAATCACCCGCAAAACCTCCAGGAATCAGCCGCAAAACCCCCAGGATTTACCAGCAATCCCCTCCAAAATAGCTATGTGATCCCGCAAACTCCCTATTAGTACACCAAATTGCAGCGCAAAAACTTTTACCATTTAGCACAACCGTCCCGAACCACTTAGCAGAAGTGACAAGCGCTGGTTGAAAGTGAAACTATACAGCAGAACCACGGCCGCCTTTACGGCCTCTAAGGCGGCCATGGCAGAACTGTTGTTAAGTAACTAAACTTATGCAGACTTGCTGTAATAGTATTCATATTTGTATTTTGTATTGAAACTATTCTAAACTAACCAACCCTAACCAACCCTAACCAAACTTGCTGTATAAACTCATTATACAACAAATATGAAAAGACATGTGGTGAAGGGGGCCGGACATTATGCGGGTTCTTGGCTGCATTAAGTTTTTTGAAGGTAGGTTAAGATTAGTGTAGTTAAAGTATAGGTTATAGTTGACCGGGCTGTTTATTTATGTAAAATCTACATCGTTTTATCACTATTGGAACATTGGCTTAAACAACGGTACCATTTCAAAAATGCAAGCATTTTTGAAATCGTAGCCTCGTTGTTTAAGCCAATGTTCCAATACGGTAGTGATAAAACGTTGTAGATTTTACATAAATAAACAACCCGGCCAACTATAACCTATAGGCACTTTACCTTACTAATCTAACCTAACTTCAAAACACTTAATGCAGCCACGAACCCGCATAATCCCCATCTCCCCTTCCCCACATGCCTAAATAAAGTATTTTGGAGGTTATTTTACATAGTCTACAAACCAGTGGTATGATGAAAATTATTACTCTTTGCCTTGCTGACCTCATAACCAGTGGCCAATAGCGAAGCGTCAACAACCCAAGTGACGTGGCATTGGCCAATAGCGACGCGACAACAAACCTAGTGACGTGTCATTGCCACATCGACATCTGTTTAGGTTGGTACTAGCCATTTATCCCTGATATGTGCATAAAATCCCTAAAATGGGGATATTATCCCCACTAATTTTGATTTTTATCCCGTTTTAGGTACTTTATCCCGCATAATTAAAAAAATCCCATATTCATTGTACAAATTACCCATCTTCCCATGGAATTACCCTTTTGTCTCGATGTTTAAGCGACTTTTTCCCCCCACCCAAAACCCCGGATTTCCACTCTGTCCCCTAGTGAGTAGGAATTATTGCTGATAACAATTACCCTGTTGTCTCGATGTTTTAGCGAGTTAAATTGTTTTAGCGAGTAAGGAAGCCTCGGCGACAAAAAAGTTATTTAAGCGAGTTGTAGTATTGATTTCAAAGAACAGTTTAAACAAACGTTTTTAAGTGCGTTTTAGGTGAGTTGTGGAAACTGAACAATAACCTTAATGGTAGCTCTTCTTATGTAAGGCTATGTATACAACTTCGCTAGCCCGTAGCCTAACTTACACTTTTATTTCCTTAAGTGGGGGCCGCCAGCTAAAATGTCCTCTTTTTTTACAAATTAAATTACCATATGGCAACCCAACATTTACTAAGCATACAAATTTATACACAAGACAGTCTTGAAGACACATTTTAAAACAGGTTTGTTGTTATAAGTTAGATACAATTACAACTAAGTTTACAAGTGGCAATTTGATTTTAACTTAGCTTCTGTTCAAGTAAGTTAATATTATATTATCTGGATCGGAATAGAGTAGGGACTAGGGAGTCAAGGTAATAGATTCGATACTTATCTTCTTCATATGCCTACCAGAGACATTGCCGGCATTGCGGAATCTACAATCTACCATGTTTACAAAGGCGCCTTCTATCGGTATCGGTTTGTAAATAATGGTAATTTGTGAAAATAATGACTTCAGTTATAAACTATTGAATTAAACTACTAGATATATACCATTGCATACCTTACAATGTCCTGGAATTCCTAATTCCTAGTAAAGTAAATGGTTAAAATTCCTTCTTCTATAATATAATATAGTCAATGATAATACTTAGACGCACTACACTTGAAAGCACAGACATGACAATTACAATACGAAACGAATTACGAAACGAAGTGAAGTGAAGTCGAGTCGAAGTGAGGTTCAGGCAAGAGTAGTAAAACAGAAAATACTTGGTGGAAAACAGACCAAAGAAAACCAGAACTGGGAATGTAGCATCGATTAAGAACTGGGAATGTGGCATCGATTAAAAATGCCTCACGTTGTGTTCAATCATTGACTTCTATTAATATTGTATATCGTCACAATTGACCTTTGAAACAGTAGTTAATCATTTACAGCTGAGGTTATTGACATTTTTGTTTTGTGTGCATGTCGACAACTTTGGCATTTTATGATAGTGAACAGTTAGAACAACCAGCCTTAACTCCGGGCCTCGGCCTTCAAAGTGGCAAACTTCTTCTTCTTTTTGATGGCGGGTTGACTTGGTGGCGGGTTGACGTGGTGGCGCCTTGGCGCGTTCCCGTGCAAAAATTGCATACAGCGTTGCACGAATCTTGCCGCTTACAACATGCGTCTTGCATTCAAGAATCAATATTTTATTCCGTTAGACATGTACATGCATTTGGATACGTCAATAAAGTTGATTACATGCTGCAAAAACACAAGTTATAGATAAATTACAGTATTCATATTATTCATTCTGATAGCCCCTTGACTACGGATAATGACTTTGTAGGCTTACATAAGGTCAGTTAGAACAACCAGCCTTAACTCCGGGCCTCGGCCTTCAAAGTGGCAAACTTCTTCTTCTTTTTGATGGCGGGTTGACTTGGTGGCGGGTTGACGTGGTGGCGCCTTGGCGCGTTCCCGTGCAAAAATTGCATACAGCGTTGCACGAATCTTGCCGCTTACAACATGCGTCTTGCATTCAAGAATCAATATTTTATTCCGTTAGACATGTACATGCATTTGGATACGTCAATAAAGTTGATTACATGCTGCAAAAACACAAGTTATAGATAAATTACAGTATTCATATTATTCATTCTGATAGCCCCTTGACTACGGATAATGACTTTGTAGGCTTACATAAGGTCAGTAGTCCAAAATTTCGTTTTCTATTTCAAAAAATGTTGATCAAAGCTAACATGTTTCGTTGCACTGCAACATCGTTGGAGCTTTACGTCAAAAACATCAAATAATTTACATAAAATACAACACGGGACACGGAACATTTAAAACACGAAATTTCGAAATTTCACAATATAGTTCCTCTAGTTCTATCTTAAACAACTCCTTCGCACGGTTTGAAAACCAACGACTATATAGCGCGACTTTTCAATTTGACTTGATGTCTTTAATAGTCCACGATTAAAAAGTTGTCTATGGAAGTGATGGGTACTCGTGTAGTCCCATGTTTTGAATAAAAAATGAACTTTTGTATCTTTTTCAATCATTGTTAGCAAATTTAGATGTGTCAGATACGGTAATGTGTGGTACTCTCCAAAACAAGCGTGTAATTTGTAAATAACTTGAGTGGCGTCTGCACTGTAGACAGCATTTTCGTTTGTGAAAGCTTTTGCCTCACGTTAGCCACCACCACCACACGTTAGTAATCCTCTGTAAATACCAACAGCATGTGCAATGGTATGCTAAATGAAAGTTCCTTATTTTTTCCGATTTACCTGGTCCTAGCCAGCAGGCATTTTTAAAGCTTTCTACCTCGCTCTATTGTATGTAAGTTTTTAATAGTGGTTTCTATATCAACATTCTTGGTTCAATCAACCTCAACACCACCACTCGCGTATCTTGACAAAGTTTCAGATTGCTGTTTGCAAGTCAAGTTCGCATCTTGACATCAGCAGCAGTTTTATCATGTTTTTACCACTAACCTTGCCCACGATATGAAGAGCACTGTTAAATGTGGCAGTTATTACGTCTTGTTGACTGATGGATATACGTATTTCATAGTTATTTTAAAAATATTTTGATGACGCATATGGATTAAATGCGTGTGAAACTCAATTCCTGTTATTACATCACTATACTCTTTGCTATTTTATATTACCAGCATCTTGAACTTTGAATCCCAATGAGCTTAAAAACTTTTAAAACCCGCTTTTGCACCATCGATGTTAACCTTTCTGTGTCTTGACACTTGCTGATTTCATTTTTAAAAATTTTAATTTTTAATGGTAGTTTTCCCATAAAACCCCATAAAATAACAGAAAAATAGGATTTTCCCAAAAACGGCCCGAACGATTTTGATAAAAAATTTGTATGTTATAGTCCTTTATATTCTGAACAAAATGGTACAAATCCCATTTCTGTAAAAATTATGGTTCAAAGGTTATTGTAAATTATGTTATTTCCCATAAAAACCCCATAAAATAACGGAAAAATCAGATTTTCACAAAAATGGCCCGAACGATTTTGAAAAAAATTAGTATGTAGTCCTTTAAATTCTGAACAAAATCTTACAAATTACATTTCCGTATATTTACTTTCACCGCTTACACATGATAAAGGTTGTTGACAAACTTATGGGAGAAAGTATGTGTCAGAATGCTGATACCGTTTATTCTCCCTTATATGCAACCTGACGGAAATGCTCTCGTTTCGTAATAGCTATTTACCTTACAAGTGTAGTTAGAGCGTTTTTAAACATGCTAAACATGTTTAAACTAGCTAGGAATGGACTAGCATGAGCTAAACATGCTCTTGCGTAACGTGTAACGTACAAGATTTTACCTGACCCGACAATATACAGGAGGTTACAAACAATATTTTTCATTATCCATTTCACTTATCTTCTAACAGTAACGCTCATTTACAAACAAAAGCTAGGTTAGGAAAAAATCAAAACATAACGATAAAATTCAAGAGCACAGCTGATTTCTAGCGTTGAACTTTGTTGGCTCCATAGAGGTATATTTTTGAAGTTAAGCACTAAATGTTATTTTACCTAACCCGCCATGCTAAACTTCCCTATCCCAAGCGTGATGTATACAACTTCCTTACTTCTCGAGTGATGTAAAGTTGAAAAAAACTCACTAATGTAATGAAACCCATTTAAATAACATTGAGTGCTTAACTTTAAAAAATATACCTCTATGGAGGCATCGACGTTCAACGCTAGAAATCAGCTGTGCGCTTGAATGTTATTGTTATGCTTTAAAGTATTTTCCTAACCTAGCTTTTGTTTGTAAAAGAATGTTACTGTTAGACGACGAGTGAAATGGATAATGAAAAATATTGTACGTAAACCCATGTATATTGTCGGGTCAGGTAAAATCTTGTACGTTACACGTTGCGCAAGAGCGTGTTTACATCTCTTAGGTGAATTATGCAACTCGCTTCCGCTCGTTGCACAACATTCACCTGCGTGATGTAAAAACGCTCTTACTACACTTGTAATGTAAATAGCTATAAATGGGTTTCATTACCTCACCGAGTGAGTTTTTTTTCAACTTTACATCACTCGAGAAGTAACGAAGTTATATACATCACGCTTGGGATTGGGAAGTTTAAGATGGCGGGTTAGGTAAATTAATATTTTCACCATTGTGATCCCTCAGGTGGATTGTGACCTTGTTTCTCCCTTTAACGTTCACGGGCCAATAAATGATTAAGTAAATTATTACTTGTGATGAGGAGGCAAAAACAACAAAAATGAATAAATGATTGTGTTGCGTACCTCTACTATTTTATACGTAGGTCTTACGTTTGGGTAGAACTCGTGTATGAAATGTCCTTCTGTGTCGTTACCAAACGACTCACGAACTATGTTACACTCAACACGTTTTACATTAACTTTTATAATACTGAATGGTCTGTCAGAAATGTGTTTTACATCTGCTTTCAATATTTTATTATTAAATTAGGGGATGTAGGAGGGGTGTAGGGATGTAGGAGGGGTGTAGGGATGTAGGAGGGATGTAGGGATGTAGGAGGGGTGTAGGGATGTAGGAGTGATGTAAAAGTTTCACTTTTTGTAACATTTATAGTTTGGATACACTTTATTTCAGACTTTGGTTTATTATTCATTGCTTTTAGTTTTAGTTCTACATCTATTCCTACTTTTGATTTTAAAATGGTTTCTAAATCTTCAATTTCATACGCCCCTTCATCCACTGTGATTGATTTGTTACTACAACAAAACTTGTCATTGACACCAGCATCAATATTTGGGATTACATTAAATGTCATCAAATCAATAAGTCCAATCTTCCATTTATTCACCTTCACTAACATATACAGGTGGGAAATAGCCTCTTTTTATATGCGAACCTCTGTCACTCAAACTAAACATTGCTGAGAAAAGGTAAGCAAAAGTGACCACACACGGCTGAGGTAAAACTCTGCTTCCGCTTGTATTATAGTACATTTCACAATCACCAAAATACTGCAAAAGTTGTCGTGGATTTTTAAGATTAACAAAACTGTGAAAGTAAATACACGTTGTTTATTTTTATAACACTCCCAATGAGTACCATTTCCAAAACGCCTTTTAAACTTTTTTAAGTTTTTTGTTGCTGCTTAGTTTTAGCTGTTTTCATAAATGCAAAAAGAAAAATTATAGTGCTGCACCCTGTTGGTAAATCTTAAACTTAATGCTTGACTTTAATCGTAACTTTAAATGCTTTTGCATATCATAGAACCAACTTTTTTAGTTGAAACAGCTGACTAAATTCTTTAATAACCTTTAAATATGAATACTCATAAGGTTAACATGGGGAACTACAGAGCCACTGGGGCGGAGTCCGAAAGGATTTTTGAGACAAGAATATGCCTGTATGTTAATCGGGAATGTGAGCCATCATCATGCCAAATTTCAGCTCAATCCGTCCAGTAGTTTATGCGTGATTGAACTTAAAACAAACAAACAAACACACAAACTTTCACATTTATAATATTAGTAAGATAATACTGAGTCAGTATCATAATATACTACCTGACCACCCAGGGCATCTAGGTGCGCATACAATTTAAGCCTAGATTTAGCTGTAGTGTATGCTGCAATCACAACATTATGACGTTTTGCATCGGCTCCCCAACCTCCTC